TTGTCTTTGTCATGGACTCTCACACTGGACTAAATTACTCACTTTATTCAACAGAGACTTTGATGCATACCCGAAACTCTCCAGAGTCTGATAGGGCTGGAACAACAAGGAGAGGCTCTATGCCCAGCACTCACCTGCAGAGCCTGTTTGTAGAGATGAGGGGGTGAATCCATGTTCCCCTTGGTTTGGTTGTTCAGTTCTGAGATTCAGCACAGATGCTTTCCTGGAGTGCCAGCTGTGAGGAGGAGTTTCTCCCTCATTATGAGCCAAAGACGAGGCACACATACATATATATCTCTCCATGTAGTGATTTGGGGGGAGGGGGGTGTTACGTTTTGGGCTGCTTTTTCCACTCATCCTCAATACGCTCAACCTCTTCCAGTACTTGGAAGGTCCTGCTGATGATAAAGCACAGCCCAAATGCAAATTGCAACAACAAGAACAAAAATCTAATCTAGTACAGGACCTGTTTGTAAAAGTACTGGAACACTCTGATGATCCTTTACTTGTACAGCCTGCGTTGGCTAACCTTCATCAGTAGGTGGTGCTGGCGAACTGCACATTTGTTAGTGCGCTCCTGGAGCTGTCTGCACCGTCATCGATTTACACACGTGTAGGTGGGGACGTCATAATTTCGACGTGACCTCAAGCCAGCCTCCGAACAGGAACCCCATTTTGCCAACACAATGATCTCTATTTCCTCGTGCATAAAGAAATGCGTTACCTGAACTGCTCAAACTTCTGACTACAGCCAGAAATGATTTATTGATACACAAAATTGGACAGGCTCGCATTGAAATATGGAAAACTAAGTCCACAGTTTTATGAAGGGGAGATACCTGTACACAGAAGGACTTGTGAGGACGTGAAAGTACATAGATAGAGTTTCCCTTTTTGAATCCCATCTTGAAGTGGAACAGAGAGGAAGGTTACAAGCATGATCCTTGGTTCTCTCCTCACCCAAGCATACCTACAGCTGATTCTTCTTCAGCTTCAAACTGAAAACTTTTTTTTTTTAAAATTGATGAATGTGGCCTTATAATAAGCATTATAATTGTGCAGTGATCTGAAATGAGAAGTTGAAGAAAAGCACTGTTTATAACAGAGTCTTTACATAGTTTTCTTATGTTTCTCTAGACATAATTTACAATTAGAAGAGAATGGCTAATAGTCTCGGTCTTCCTTTACACAAATCTGTAAATAGAATTATTGTTGATCTTTGCATGACCTCCTGGCCAATGTTGCCAACATTGCCAAAAGGTGTAGGTTCACACTGGCAAGCATTTCATTTGTTGCAATCTCTGTTTCGAGGACTGGTGACTGGCATATGGTAAAAGAAGTTACTAAGAGGAACTAGACAATAAATCAATTGTGAATGGGCATACAGTAGCCATGCAATAGACACTAGCTCACTGTGTGTTTTCTAATCAAAGTGGAGCTGTGGAAGTTTACAGGAGTCACACAGGCTTCAGAGTTGACTGAAATATCCCAGGTCATTTTGCATAATGTACATTTGCTTCCTTGATTTTTTGTTTATTTATTTAGATTTTGAAAGTTTATATAATACCAGTAATGGTTCTTGAAAAGGTACAAGAATGCAACCCACAGTAGAAAACAGAAACTGAGGAGTGATTACTGCAGCCTGTTGTCTTACAGTGTTTGTAATTTAAGCTTAGTGAAACATTTGTCTTATATTAACAGCTAATTATAACCACATGTAAAACTTAACATCATTACTCTGGTTTAAGTCCTGTTGCTTGATCTGGTTTATTGTTTAATTCCTTTGGGAGTATTTTAGAGAAAAGTGTTTTAGATAAGTGCACACTGTTCAAAACTTTTAAAATTCACTATTAAAGATGGGAAGTGCTATTTCTCATTAGCCACAACTTCTTGTAAGTAAAGGAACTTTACAATCATGGGAATTCCCCTTTACTTTTTTAAACGCAGAATGATTAAATGGACTAATTTAATTGCCCAAGTTCCGGGCTGTTATATCTGTACTGTCTACTGGGCTATTAAATAGAAACCTCATTACTGACTCATCTTACATATATATATATATATAAAATCTGTACAGTATGTATAATACAGTGCTGCATTTTAGAATTATTTTGTTTCTGTAGACTCATAAGACATCTATAGGGAAAAAAATTAATAACTGTGGCTTGGAGTTTGTTATGAGGGGCTATGTTAGTTCTGCCCTGCTTCCGACTGAGTCAATAAGAAAAAATCCAAGGGCAGAGCCAAGCTCTTCGATGAGACACCCGCGTTGCAAAGCTCTTTCGGCAGCAAGTTCTCTGGTCGCCCTATGTTTTAAAGTTACCTTAAATGCCACTGAAGGAAAGCTGAATTCTGTGATCTTGTGTTTTGCAGACCGATCCAGAGGCTGGTCGCGGATTGTGGGCTAGCTCACCAACCATCCCCGCATTTGGGGGGCTGGGGGGCTGTTGGGTTTTTCCTGCCGAAGCCGTCACTCCCCGGTTGGGTAACCGCGAGCCGCAAAGCTGCTGTCCACGTGGACTGGTGCTGAAATCTCTCGTCCGGCTGCTGCCAGAGCCTCGCCAGCGAAACCCAGAGACATGGCAACAAACGGAACAAAAGTGGCAGATGGACAGATCTCCACGGAAGTTGATGCTTCAATCACCAATGACAAGCCTAAAACCTTGGTAGTAAAAGTGCAGAAGAAGAAGACGGATCTTCCAGACCGAGATACTTGGAAAGGGAAATTTGACTTTCTTATGTCCTGTGTAGGTTATGCCATTGGCTTAGGGAATGTGTGGCGATTTCCGTACCTTTGTGGCAAGAATGGTGGAGGTACGTTTGCTGTTTCATTCTTACAACCTCTGAAATATATATGTTAGAATTCACCATAAAAATTATCAGTAAAGCAGAACTTGGTTTTAATAGCTTTTTCATCTGTATAGGTGTTTTTTGGTTTGGTGATTGGGTCTTTTTGTTGGTTTTTTCTTTTGCTTTACACTTGTCCGGAAGGGTTGGAGCCGTTTGGGAGTGTGGTGCTCATCTTTGAGGTCTACTCTGGAGTTTATTCTAATTTCTAGTTGGCAGGCGCTCTTAAAAGACCATAAGGCATTAGAGCAGAACTAAAGCACATTGCCCTCCAAGCCTTCAGAGCCCTCTCTTTTGGATTGAGTGTTTGAAAGGATTGCATACAGCTTGTAATACAGACTCTGAGCTTACCATAAAAGGCTAACTTCAGCTGGAAAGCAGCCAGTTCTGGTTAAAGCCTTTATGCGATCTGCATGCTCCTGTGATAGATGAAGGCAACAAAATACAGAGGCTTTTGGATTTTAGCTTTTTACTTAAACAGAAAATATTTAAATGATGGGGAGATATATTTTCCCTCTTATTTTCACCTCTACAGATACTGGTTCAGAAGTGTACATGTGCTTTCCACTAACTTTTTTGAAAAGTTACACTTAAGAGGAAAAACTGTGGGTTTCTTTTCATATATAATAGGGATGGAAACGGTGGAAACTTAGTTGTGTTTTTCCACACTATAACAGACTTTTTCTGATTTCTTTTTAGGTGCATTCCTGATTCCCTATTTCCTTACTTTAATTTTTGCTGGAGTGCCACTATTTCTTTTGGAGTGTTCCCTTGGTCAGTATACATCTATAGGAGGCCTTGGAGTGTGGAAGCTTGCTCCCATGTTCAAAGGTACGTTAAGAATTTGGATTACTTCCCATTTGTTCCCAAGTTGCAGAAGTCGCACAAAGTGACAGGGCAAGGATGTTTCTTTATGCCTTTGTATTTTTACTTAAGCTGTCATTTTCTACAGAAAACCCTGATTTTCTGAAGTGTAACTGACAATTTTGAAACATGCTAAGGTATTATTCAATCCCCATTAAAAATAACAAGAGTTAGACATTAGAATCTCAACAAACTTATTTTTGAACTTCAAAAACTTTTATTTTTTGTTAGGAACATATAAAAACTCTTCAAATTAGCATATTAAATTTAGCAATAATTGTCTGAGCAGGTATGGAACTCTGTTCACAGCAATTTAATAAACATTGTTTCTGTTTAAGGTCACAGAGGCTTGTATCTCCTGTTGTTCTTTATTGAAATTCAAAAGTCAAACACTTTGAAGATGGCAATTTCATGCTGAATTTCTTAAGACAAGCTCACTCTGTACTTAGATTTTCAGCTAGTTTGAGGTTTCTCATTGCTAGAATCTCAAGGTTTTAATCTAGATTCTGCACAGACCTACAAACTTCACAAACTGTGCTTTTCACCCTCTAATCCCAAATCCTTTGACACTTAAGAGCTCCTGAGCTGACATCTGGACCAGTAGAGGAGCAAGTTACACATTGAGTTATAAATTACTTCACATAGTAGGACTGACAGTTAGAATAGGATGAACTAAAAGTTTGTTTAGAGTGGATATTGTTCTAGGAAATTTTGTATTGGGAAAACCCAGAGAGATGAAATTGTTTCTCACAGGTAAGTATTTTAACTTTGCTTCAGTTACTACTGTTGGTAGGGGGCACAATGCAAAGTATAGACCTTGCTTTGTATTATACTGGTTATCTTGAGCACTTCCTCCTGTTTAGTGTCACCTGGCAACTGTCACTAGCCTGAATATTTTAAAATACCCCTGAAGTCTCCATGTGGAGTAGAAGACAAGGCATTCTCATTGTGGATTCCCTGACATTTCTTTAGTCTGAGATGACATAATAGCATTATACTAAGCAGCAAGGACTTTGATCAGAGTACTAAATGGCTAGCTGGTCTTCTAATACATACTCAATTTGTTTGCATCTGCCAGAAGTTTCCGTGGGACTGCTCTTTCAGAGAAGGAGCTGATTTAGCTCTTTTTGCTGGAAGTGAAACATGCCTGTAAAATCTCAGCAGTGACAGATGTGACTGCTTACTGCAACACACAGAGAACTGGACACTAAGATTAAATTTATGCATGACTGAACTATCACCCAAATTAATGACCTTTTTATAATGGTACTTCTAAAATTTTAACTTAGCTTCTGCAAAATTTGGTAAATAGTATCCGCTCCACATGTTGTATTTGTCCTTCTGAACTGCAGCTCTTCAACTGATATTTGCACAGATATTACTAAAAGTTACTTTTTTTTTTCTTTTTATTTTCTTTACAGGTGTGGGACTAGCTGCTGCAGTCCTTTCCTTTTGGCTAAATATTTACTACATTGTGATTATTTCATGGGCTATATACTACCTGTATAATTCCTTTACCACTGTAAGTGTGTGTGTTGGAGGGGAGGTGGAATTGTTTGTTGAATGTAAAGCAAAGTCATAAATAGATAGCTAATTAATCTGTCTCACTGTAAAGGTGTGAGGTTAACACAAAATGCATAGAAATCAGTAGGATAAGCCATTTCTTACTAAAGGAAAACACTTTTGTAAAAGTCTCTCTTTAAATTTTTTTTCCTCCACAAGAAATGTAGTATAGAAGGCTGTGAGGAAAATATTCTGTTCCATGAATATCAGTGGAGAAACATAATAACAGGTTATTTTGGAGCCACAGGCTTCTCTTTCTTACCAGTTTGTTTAAATTTCCTCATCTTAATCTTCAGAGCCACAGTTCTTTCATCTGTACCCTTTTAGTTTCACTCATTACCTGTCTCTGCCCTTTAATCACAAGCATGCCTGCTTGCTTCTCTGCTTACCTGCCAGGAAGCTGCAAGTCATGCTCAGGCTTCGGACTCCTTGTCCTGGCAATGCTAACGAGAGTACTAGCACCCGTTTGCCTTTAAGCCTACAGGCCAGTCATTCCCCTGAGAAAAATTTTAGTGTATAACTGACTTTTTTTTTCTTTTTTCTTCAGTAGCAGCCACACAAATGTTAATTCTTTGGGAAATAGTATCACTGCAATGTGTTTTAATAGTGGAGGGGTTTTTTAAAGAAAACCCCATGGAGTGGAAGGTCTGTGATTTGATTAGCTCTGAACTTCCATTCATTGTTATTTTCGCTTTGTTTTCTTTCCTTTTAACTTTATTTTTAGCTGCCTTTTTTTCCCCCTCAAGGATGATTCATCAGCTGACTAGGTCTTGTCTGATTTGTGAGTTTTGGCCATCTGAGGAAGCATTCTTATTCTTACATAAGTGTCAATAATTAATGCATTATTGTTCAATTGTTGTCTCTTTTACAAATTTTATTCATGCTTGCTTGTTCTCAGCTTTAAAGAATTGTCCTTTGACCAAATTTGCATTAATTACTGTCTGAGAGTGACATGATCATTTCTTTTTTTGTTATCCTCAGATCTGTTATTGATGTGAAAGCTCAGTCATAGCCTGGAAGGGGTGCACTGGCCTGTATTAGATGAATATTGACTTCTAATTCCCTTGAAGCTTCTTATGCTTGTATTTAAAACATGCAGTACCCTGATACAACATTTGCTGTAAGAGGATTTTCCAAGACTGGCCATCAGAAGAATATCTAAATTGTATTTAAATGAGGTTCATTCTAATGGCTATCATGTGGAAACAAGTTCTGCTTCTCAGAACTTCTTAATGTAAAACGGACACATGTAGAAAATGCATGTAGAAAATAGAAAGTTTACATTTTTCTAATTTTCCCCTGACCTGAGGGGAGAATGGAAGTCTCTGATCAATAACCATCACACCTTTATTACCTCTAGTGCAACAAGAGATAACAGGACCTCCAGGAGGTCCTTTCCACTGCCCTTGTTTCTTGTAGCATGCCAAATATACTCTCACATGCCGAGAGGTGTATCAGACTCCAAAGCATTTGGGCTGATATATTAAAGAAAGGAATAAATATTTTCACATCTGATTCACACAATTGATATGAAGTTAAATAACTTATGTGGCAGACGCACCCCAGGGAGATCAGTGCACTGCAGAACTCAAAGTATGTTAGTTCTCCACTCAACTGTAATTTCTAGTAAATATAAAGATACTTGAGGTAATCCTTAAAAAGTGTTTGACTGTTTAGGTTTTTCTCTCTCTCTTTCTTACACAGACTCTTCCTTGGAAACACTGTGAGAACCCATGGAACACTGACCGCTGCTTCTCCAATTATACCTTAGCAAACACCACCAACATGACAAGTGCCGTGGTTGAATTCTGGGAGTAAGCTGATAATTTTTCTCTCTGTCATTCCTGTGCATATGCAAGTATCAGCTTGTTATCATTCATATACCCTCTTCTGAATTAGTTGTCAAATACACCATTCTGTTGGCTTATTCTAGACGCAACATGCACCAAATGACTGATGGATTGGAAAAACCAGGGCAAATCCGATGGCCGCTAGCAATTACCCTAGCAATTGCCTGGATTCTGGTGTATTTTTGTATCTGGAAGGGGGTAGGCTGGACTGGAAAGGTAAGATTAAAAAGTACTGTAAATACCTTTCAATTAAAAATGCCCATTTTACTCAAATATTCTGAAAATTCTTGAGGTAAGAGGCACTGGGGACAGTTTTACTGGAATAGGTCTGTGCAGTATTTAATTTCTATCTTTCTTGAATTGATACAGCACCATGTTTTTGAAAGAGCTGGCTCCTCTGTAGCTAGGTCTGACCATAGTCTTAGATGGTATGTTCACTTATAGACTTCTTGGCTTGGCCAGGTATAAAATTGCCTAAAAATACATTTGCTTATTCTTGGGAGGAATATTCTAGCAATAGAGTGAGGATGCAGTGTTTTGTCTTCAGTGAGAAGCATGCATTTATTGCACAGCTCTTGCTGGACTTAGATACATAAGTAAGTGTTGAAGCTGTATTGCATATAAGAGCTACTCCCTCCTTTCCTTATGCTGAGTGAGAACTGTAGGTGGTTCTTGCCACAAGCATGCTTGCATGCTGTGCTTCTTGGAGTCTGACTGGTTTCTGAGTGCAAAACAGAATTTACTAATGAATTAAAGGAAATTATATTATTGACAGACATTTCTCCAGGAATGAAAGGGCAATAGCATCTAACATTGGTGTATACCTTTCCCTCTCCCCAAAATGTCAGGAAGAAATCCTAGGGAAATGAGAAGCCACAGCCGTGAGGCTTGGTGGCAACTGGAGGCTTGGGTTGTAAGACCTCAGGTCTGGTGTAGAGGACTAGGATTTTTTCACACTGAATGGACTGTTAACTTTTGACAAGCTGGTTGTAACTGTGACCCACTTCAAGCCACATGTTGAACATGGCCTAGTTGAGCTCAGACCAAACCATTTTATTTCTCCTATCTGCAAAGAAGGTGGCAAAAAGAGGGCTGACTTTGTTTCTTTGGGGTCTGCCTTCATAGTGTCTTTTTTATATGGCTTTTGAAAAGGCAAGAGAGTAAGATCCTGTATATCATAACATAGATGAGGAAAGAGTATGAAAAATGCAAGAGCAGCTATCTGAGAGGTGGAGAAATAAACTAACAGATGTTGTTCTACAAGCAGGGTACTGATGCCATGAGCCTTGTGCTTTTGGGAGCTCCCCTTGTTGAATACAAAAAAAACCCTTAAGCCGCTTGTGCAAAAATACCCTAATCCACTACGTTCCACCTTCAGGAAAATCAGCATCAGCCACCTGCCTTGTAGACATAGTGTTTAGGGAAAGCTGCAGTAGGCACTTCCCTTTCCACACCAAGTTTTTCCATTGATAAATGCTTCAATTGAAAAGTCAGCCTCAGTTGCTGCTACCGTATTTTTAGGGAGCAAATATTTTTCTGAAGTGTTAACAAGCACAGATCATTTTTCCTTCCACACTTACAATGTCTTGTTTCTTCACATCAGGTGGTATATTTCTCTGCTACTTATCCCTATGTTATGCTGCTTATCTTGTTCTTCCGTGGTGTAACACTGCCTGGAGCAAAGGAAGGCATTTTATTCTATATAACTCCCAACTTCAGTAAGCTTTCAGACTCAGAGGTAAATATTCAATCCTTGTAAACAAAAGTTTCACTACTAACTGTTCACCTTTCAGACAAATGACCTGCTCCTCAAGTGCAGAAACAGATTTTTAAAAAAATTATTTCCTGCAATCAGGTTTGGCTGGATGCTGCCACACAGATTTTCTTCTCCTATGGTTTGGGTCTTGGCTCACTGATTGCCCTTGGAAGTTACAACCCTTTCCACAATAATGTTTACAGGTAAGCAGATGACTGCACATATTACAATGGCACTTTTCTGTCTCAGCTGGAGCTGGATTCTGTCTTTCTGTGTACTATATCATTGGAATAAAGTGTAGTCTCAGATCTGAGTATTAAATGTTATATCTAACTAGGAATGAGATGTATAACTGCATTTTCACTAGTGGGAGAGACTGTATGAAATGGAACCCAAACTGTGAAATGCTAAATCATTAAATTTTTTCACAGGAAAAAAGGGTAATATACTGATGAACAATAGTATTGCTTTACCTACTGCTTAAAGCACCTCTGCCTTTATTTCAGGGACTCGATCATAGTGTGCTGCATAAACTCATGCACAAGCATGTTTGCTGGCTTTGTCATCTTCTCCATTGTTGGATTCATGGCTAATGTCACAAAGAGGCCTATTGCAGATGTTGCAGCATCAGGTATCCAATATATTTTTCTCTAAGTTGTTCAGTGGCAGCAGTTATTTTTTGTTTGTATGTTGTATCCAACTGCTTCATGTAATTGTTCAAAATCCCTCCCTCAAAACATTCCTCAGCTCCCTGTCATTTCAGTCGCCCTTACTGATTGCAAAAGGGAGAGCATTGTTTCAAACCTCTCAAGGCAGCACCAGCAAAATCATTTCATGTTGAGCAGACTGTCTGCCTGCCTGCCTAGTGCTCTCAAACCTTTGGTGTGGAGAGTGGTCGGCCAGAGACACATCTTGGGCTGACGCAATGAATACTAATGAATGCTACTTACAGGGAATGCATTTACAAGAGGTGGCAGCACAGTTTTCTGCTTCAGTGCTTAGCTGTGACATCAGATTGTAAGCCTCTTGCTACTGAAATTCTGAAAAGCAAACTGAAAGGAGGAATGATGGTCATTATGTTTTTGAAGCCTTTACATTCAAATTCAGTTAGGTTTTTAATTTCCTTTTAACTGTTTCTTGAGGTTAAGCCCTTTGAAGCAGATTCATTTCTCACCTGTTCAGACCTACAGCTATCAGCCAATTTTATGGGACCCATTATTAAGAAAGTCATTTTAGTTAGGGTAGTAAGACAGCCATGGAAGAATTCTGCTATTCTTTGCAGTTCCTTGTCTTTCTTCCAGATGAAAAAGCTTAAAGTAGCAGAACAGATGGTTGCCCTAACCCAGCTGGTGTACCAGATACTCATTTAGCAGTTCTGACCACAGGGAGGGATCTGATAACTGAAAGCTTGGTTGGAAGTCACTGGTGGACAAAATATGTCTTACTATACTAGCAAACATATGCCATTGATGAAATATTTCCTTGGTTAGAAAAGTAGAGTATTTAAGCCCTAAAAGTTTAGGGAATGTGGAAAAAGGGACAGGCCACTTGGGAGGAATATAGGAATGTTGTCAGAGCATGCAGGGATGCAATGAGGAAGGCTAAGGTCCACTTGGAATTAAATCTGGCAAGGGGTGTCAAGGACGATAAGAAGGGCTTCTTCAAGTATATCAGTAGCAAAAGGAAGACTGGGAAAAATGTGGGCCTGCTGTTGAACGAGGTGGGTGCCCTGGTGACGAAGGATACAGAGAAGACAGAGTTACTGAACGCCTTCTTTGCTTCAGTCTTTACTGCTAAGGCAGGCCCTCAGGAATCCCAGACTCTGGAGGTAAGAGAAGAGGCCTGGAGAAAGGAAGACATTCCCTTGATCGAGGAGGATCGAGTCAGAGATCATTTAGGCAAACTGGACACCCCAAAATCCATGGGCCCTGATGGAATGCACCC